GTGGGTAAGAACCTCACTTCTTCAGATGCAAGAGTTCTTACCCACGAAAGCTTATGCTCCCAATACTTCTGTTATTCAAAGGTGCCACAGGACCCTCTGTGGCTTTTTAATGAAAATCAAATTACACATGGCTTTTTCTTATGGAACCAAAGGGCACAGACTATTGTATATGGCTGGGCTTGTTAAGCTGCTCTTCCTGTTGAGATCTAAAAAAGCCCGTTATCCTTTGAACAAGAGAAAAGCCGTCATTGTCCATGCATCAGCAACACCACCTTACCTCTCCCACGACCACGCTTCCCACGGTCTGAAGGCCTCTCCCCTTGACTGTTGTCCACTCCATTCTCTTCTACTCGAACTGGGGAGAGAAAACAGAAGACTGACAGGGAAGGAAGTTTTATCTTTACATTTGTAAGAGGTTTGAAAACAATGGAGAGGAGCAACAGATTGGGTAGCTCAGAGTTTCTAACGAGCACCTAAATAAACTGCTGGATTTTCAGAGGTGCTGCGCTGGTGCAGCAAGTGAGGTAGAGGTGATGGGAGTTGTGGGTGCTCAGCAACTCTCCAATCAATACACTAATTTAAGCATCTTAAAAATGGATTTGGGTGCCTAAATGGAAGTTCATAAATCTTGGGCCCTGGCATTGTAGAGTGGAGTGGGGGGCAGGGGAGATCACCTTTCAGCAGGAACCCCACCTGGGGCTATAGGAGGAAATATGGGGCAACAGGAGCTCTGCCACTCTTTGGTGCATCACACTCTGTCCCTGGCCTGCTTTGCTGACCTGTCTGAAGGAGGACAGGGTCATGACCTCACCACTCTGAGGAGGCAGGTACTGAGGCTAGCCTTAAACTGAGCCTTCCCTACCCAACTACGTTCTGATTGTCCCTTGTGAAAGAACCAGGAGGACCTAGAAGGGAGTGGGGAAGAAGCCTCCCGTCTCATGCCTTCCCTTTCCCCCACCTCACACACAGAGTCCACCAGAATCTGGTCCTTTACATTTAACCTGCATGGGACACAATGTTTTTTGTTGTTTTACAAGAGATCTATAATTACGTTCCGTGGAAAACCTCTGGCTGTATGTTTTGATGTGTCAGCTGAAATCCAAAGGAGGGGCTCCCTGAAGGAAAATAACGACTCTCACCACTTACTACAGCACTTGTGCTTGTTAAATGGAGACTGTGCACTGCACGACTTGTTTTCAGCACTGCAATGGGGACGTAACTACGTGCACATAAAGGTGCAGAGAGCACATTTTGCAAGATTTTAGAACCCATTTGAAAGCCTTAAATTCCAGATTTAGCACAGAGCCCAAAACTTGAAGGCCAAGCTGCATTTGGCTCTGGCAAACAAATTCTGGGCAGCGACTTTTTTGTTTTGGTGAATTAGGGCTTGTTCACATGGTCAGTTAGTGTTCAGCCAGCCAGGGTGTTAAAGTGCCCGCTAACAGGTCAGGACCCTGCTACCATGCACTAAAAGTTCCATAGTGCATGGCAGTAGGGTCCACATGATCAGTTAGTGCATGGCACACTAGAGCGCTATACAGTCACACTCTGGCTTACCATGCACTAAGTCTCTGTGTGGACAAGCCCTGATATTCCCTTATTTGTTCTAAAAGCAACTTGCAAATTTTATTAATATCCTCTATACATCATCTTCCAGATCATTAAATGAAACAGCATCTAGATACTATTCTATATACGTTCTTACAGCACCCAGATCACTGCAGCATCTGAGGGCCTTCCAGTAGTGCATTAAGCAATGTGATTAACATCTGTCACATGTGGTTCATTCATTCTCATCAACTCTCCAAGGGGAGAATTGTATATGCACTGTACTGTTTTGTATGGGTGGAGGTTTGTTTTTTTTAAATGTACATATATATTTTCATATGGACTTTGTATGTGTTTTTTTTAATAATATGGTTGGAGCACTTTAAGAAATGGCTTAAATAATGGATAACATACTCAAAGGTGATCTAATTCAGTACTACCTAACTTTGGAAATAGCGTTTGCAGCATATTAGCACTCTTTTGTGCAGTGTATTGGAATCACTGCCCTTGAATACACTGTGGTAATTCTAATAATGTTTAGGTTCACACCGAACCCTTTCTATTTGCGTAGAAGCTTATCTTTTGTGCATGTGTGCCCTTATAATTAATCCCTGGAATATACCAAGGCCTTTTCATTTTCCCTTAAGGGGAAAAACATTTCATAAAACTCAGACTACCCTCAGGTTCTCCCACTCATATGACATGGAATCAAAACTTGGCTATTTGCTTGTTAAAAGAAACATATGGAAAATGTATCAGGTTTTATCTGCTCCACAATGCTCAACATACAGTCCTTACAAAAGTTCTATTCCAAATTTAAGTGCCGAACAGCAACTCTCAAAAAAATCATGTGATCATAAAAAGGCTGAAGATATTTAAAATAAATTCAATTTGCCTCTAAAAAGATAAATCAAAAATAAATTCTCAAAACCAAGACATGTAACAGCATCCTGCATACCTGTTGCCAAAAAAAAACAAATGCAGTAACTCAGTCACCACACTGAGGATCTGCTGGACTTTATTCCATTAGATCCTCTTCTCTTTCATATCAACCAATTTCAGCTGCAAGAGAAAGACTAAGGCGACTAGGTGGTGTCTGTGCTTACATTCTCGGCCACGGCTGCCTCCTCTTCCCCGTCTGTTGGAGCTTCCCCGTCCACGGCTCACTTCTCTGTCCCCTCGCTTTTCTCTGTTCTCTTTGTTTTCTGAACTCTCTTTTCCAAGGCTTTTCTTCTTTCCCCCTACAGTCTCCCATGAAGTCTATTTGGGTAGAGAAGTATTAGACACAACAGATCAAAAAGCAGAGATAACCACAGCCAACTTTGCAAAACTTTCCAGCCCAAACCCCAATTCATAGATAAATGGATCTTATGTGTATAAAGCCATAGATGTATGTGATGCTTTTCACATGCTAAACTAGGACAGAGAGCAAGGAAGACATCACTCTGTGCAGGGGAAGAGGATACAGCTTTTTGAGAGCAAGTTTTCCCATGGAACATAGGTAGCATGCATTTAATATCAACTCTTTCTGGCTACAACTGAGTCGGGTTACTTTAAAGAAGTCTAGGTAGACAGCATAGTAGAAAACCTTCTAAAAGGTAGGTATTCATCCTATCAATTGTTTTCAGAAGTCTGACTGGAAACAAACAGGACTAAATCATTCCATCTCTCAACAGGTCAGGGGAGAATGCATATTTGCAACAAGGAGAAAGAGGTCAACGAGAGAGCAGATGGATTAGAAAATAAAACAAACGAACTTGGCTTTCTTGGAATCTAAGCACTGATGATCAGAGTATCAGAACAGCAGCTTGGGGAAACTGGGCCAAAACAAGTCAGCCCACTATGCCCAAGGACTGCAGCACATCGCGTGTAGCATTGCTGTGTTCAGAAACTGCTGCAAGGCCCAAGCAAGAGAAAGAATCAAGGCTTGAACGTCAGACCTCTGCTCTCCTCTTAAATCCACAGTTCAATTCAGGATTCAAGTCAGACCCTTAGGAATCACAAAACATTTGTAGGAGTTTAAAATGAAATAGCTAAAAAGAAATTTCTCAGAATAATATGGCAGTTGATAATATATTATGTAATTGTATAATTAGGCTATTGAGCCATAGTTACAAAGCAGGGGAGAAAAATTACAATTGATTTGTACAGTGTCTGTGTGCTAAGCACTTGATATACAGTTATGAAAATGAAGTCCCTGCCTCAAAGAGCTTACAGTCTAGACAGACAACATACAAACAGGGGGCAATTTATACCTCCAGCCCCCATCTGGAATGCTGGATGAAGCTGTGACCTCAAGAGAAGCCATGGTACCAATCCGAATGAAGACAAAGTATGGCTGCCATTAACTCTAGGTCCTGCCCAGACTCTCCTGAACTACTGAGGCAAAGTTTCCATTCAGCTCAAATCAAAGTTCCCTCTCCTGAGGATGAGCTGTGACAAGCTAACCAATGCTGGCTAGACAATGCAAAAGTCCCTAATGTTATCAAGGTAGCAAAACAAACTGAATACTGTAATGCTTTAAAAGTAAAAAAAAAAAATACAAAAATAGTCTGTGCTTCAACTTCTCCATTGGAAAGAGTTAGCACTACAAGAAGTTACTCTGGTGGCTTCCTTTCGTGGCTAGCTGATATTGGGGGTGGGGGGGGGGGGAGGAGAGGAGGGAAGAGTGATAGTCACAATCCTATTTCAATTTCTTCTCAGGTGCGAGAGGCTGAAGTATCATAGGTTTGGGCTTCTCCTAAGCTGACAGAAGACATGGACTATGAGTTGCTCATCAAACAGGTGACAGAACATGCAAAGGATATTAGTTTATATGTGGTGGAAAGCTTGATTCTCCTCCAATACAGGAGGATTACCATTAGGTTTCAAGCGCTATGGTGGATGAAGCCTATTTAAATGCTGAAATCCTGAGAAAGTTTGAGACATCTCTGAAAGGAAAGGAAATCCTACAGGGCAGACAACTTACAAGTCACCCTAAAAGGGGTGGGTCTCAAAAGGAGCGGGTCTCAAAAGGAGCTGTCGTTAAGTTTGCTCAGGCATTAGCTGTATGCAAAGACGAACAAAAGTTGGGTAGTGGCAAACAGACAGGAATTTTTAAAGGCCTCTATCTATTCTATTCCCTAACAAGTCGGTGGAATCGGTGTCCCCCAATATGAGAAGAGATGTTTTGCTGGAAACAGAGGCTACTGCAGATCCTACTTCAGAAGCAGAGGATCACAGTTCCTCCTTAGTGAGAACTAACCTGAATTGGTGGGAAGACTAGAATTCCTGCTGAAACTGTTCAGGTGTTAATGAGTGTGTTAAATAACAGGTGTAGAGTTATGGAGCAATCAAGTCCTTCCTTCTCCACTCATAAGAACTTCCCCTAAAGTAATAGCTGAAGTGGAGGGTTTCATTAAGCCATTTAATGCTACTTATGCACAGAAAGAATAATTCCTCTAGAAGGAAATGCCGAGAGGAATCTGGGTTTCCCTAGGGATGTCTTCTAAGGCTAATGCTAGTATCTCCTAACAGGGAACATCTTAGAGGAGAGGAAAGCCAGCATCAAGGTAACTCACCGCCAATAACAAGTCTGTTAAAGAACAAAGTTTTCAGCTGACCTTGTCTGAAGCAGTCCAAGCGCCAGCTGCAGATCTGATCTTGGGCAGCAATGTAACAAAAGAGGACTGTCTTTGGTGAAGTTATTGGTCTTAGCTTAAGTGGCAGGATGGATTGTTTGAAGGGCCAGCTTGGCACTCTAGCTTTAGAGGATTTAGCCAGCAAAAGAGCTAGTCAGGCACGAAGACAGAGGCTGACCATTTCAGTAATATCCCCAGCTGAAAAAATAGTCAGACAAAGGAACATTGCCTAATCCCTCCGTAGATTCTGTACACCCAGAAGAGACCGTAAGAACTACTGGAGACGGGGATCTTCATAAAGCAATTATCAGACAGCCAGATGGCATGGAGGCCTCAGTTCAAAGAAGCTCATTGGCAGTCTTTTGGATGCTCTACAAATAGAACTTTTAACCATATTTTCTTGCTTTGCGGACATCTTGGCCGCATTACATAGATTGCTTACAAGTTACTTCAGCCCTTTAAGTGTAGCATATATGAACTAGAATCTCATGACAACGTTTGACATCCTATAGTGTCTTTCAAGCAAAGACCTCCAATGCACTGATATTATTGATGCATGCTGAAGCTTTCTCATTTCACCTACCGCTGGAATGGAGCCACCTGTGGGGCAGTTTGTAGCAACACTACTACACAACAGAGAAGGACAAAGAGGACTCTGCCCAACCAAAAAATTCCTCCTGCAATTAGGTAGACAGAAAAACTTCTCCCGCTGAACTTTAACAAGGATACTAAAGCAAATGCCTTCATGGTAACAAAGAGTAACACAGTCTAAGATCCAATTTTCTCCTCTCTCATTTAACTACAGCTGCTGGCTTTAAAGTCCTTCTGTGGCAAAGCATGGTGCTACTGTAATTCTGTGGCTGCCAAGGCTGGCAGTGTGGAAGCATACTCTTGTAGAGGGAAGGCTGGGTAGACAGTACCCAGTTCTCAAGATGTATCCTCGGTGAACTATCAGGAAATTGCCTCAAAAATAATTGAGAAAGGTGGTGAATATGCACAGCAGCAAATTTTAAGAGCAGCTTTAAATCCTTTCATTTCATGTAATAAAAAAGTGTATACTGAGAAATTTGAAAAACGCTGCTATTTATGACATCAGTATTGGTTCCCAGCTGGCAGGCTCAGTACTACACTGATGTACAACCATCCAAGCCTTTCGCACTTCTCTATGGTGAGCGACAGATTTGGAGTGACTCTCCAAAGGGTGGAAGTGCTATGCTAAACTATTAAGAGTGCTGGCTACCTGGCTTCTGGTTTACAGAAAACTTCTCTTTCTTGAGCTAAATATCTAATTTGCTAAACAGAGAAAACATTCATAGAGACCTCAGGAGGTCATCTAGTCCAACCCCCCGCTCAAAGCAGGACCAACACCAACTAAATCATCCCAGCCAGGGGTTTGTCAAGCCTGACCTTAAAAACCTCTAAGGATGGAGATTCCACCACCTCCCTAGGTAACCCATTCCAGTGCTTCACCACCCTCCTAGTGAAATAGTGTTTCCTAATATCCAACCTAATATCCAATAGACCTCCCCCATGGCAATTTGAGACCATTGCTCCTTGTTCTGTCATCTGCCACCACTGAGAACAGCCGAGCTCCATCCTCTTTGGAACCCCCCTTCAGGTAGTTGAAGGCTGCTATCAAATCCCCCCTCATTCTTCTCTTCTGCAGACTAAATAACCCCAGTTCCCTCAGCCTCTCCTCATAAGTCATGTGCCCAGCCAAAGAAGCACGTATTTTCAACATGAAGACCATGAACACTCAAACTTTTAAAGTCAGATTGAAATCAATACTTGCTGTCATTAAAATGTAATTTTTTTTTTGTTCCAAGTACACCTCTACCTTGATATAACACTGTCCTCGGGAGCCAAAAAATCTTACCGTGTTATAGGTGAAACTGCGTTATATCAAACTTGTTTTGATCCACTAGAGTGCGCAGCCCCGCCCCCCCGGAGCGCTGCTTTACCACGTTATATCCAAATTCGCGTTATATCGGAGTAGAGGTGTATGTATTTGGTCCCTGAGCGATACCCAAGACACTCATTCAAGGTATGTTGCTTTCTGCTAGTCTTGATTTAACCACCTATTGTGCAGCAAGCAATAGTTAAGGCTACGATTTAGTCATGGGTATTTTTAGTAAAAGTTATGGACAGGTCACGGGCCATAAACAAAAAGTCATGGCCAGTGACCGGTCCATGACTTTTACTAAAAATACCCCTAACTAAATCTTAGTTGCTGGGGGTGTGCTCGAGAGGACGGTGCTGCTCTGGGGGACCAACTGCCTGGGGCCGCCCAAGCAGCGGCTGGTGCCACTGGCCCCAGGGCCTACCCCAGCTGCTCGGACGGCCCTGGGGTCAGCCGCACCAGGAATTGCAGCTGCGGAAGGCACAGAGGTCCCGGAAAGTCACATGACCTCCATGAAAGACTCGCAGCCTTGGCAATAGTCCACTTCAGAAGACCCCAACATTTAGACATAGGCTGGGCAGAGTAAGGTTTGTTTGTAATTGTTACCTGCTTACTTAAGCATTTCCTGTCCTCTCAACTAGAAACAGATCCCAGTTTGTGACCCCTACGCTTTAGAAGCTGAAACAGGAATAACTGGCTTATAGCAACATCTAAGCAGGATATATCTTTGCACTGACTCGTTACAGGAGAGATAAAGGAAGAGGGTTTAAAAAGGAAATGAAGTCCAGGGTTCCCTTCCCAGTTAGGATGAGATGAGGAAGCAGACTGAATCCCATCTTATAAATTTAAAAGGCTTTGCAGGAACAACTTCACTCACATTAAGACTCTTGTAAACTGCTTCTTGGGACAAGAAATTTGTGTTACTCCATGTATTATTAAACACATATTTGGAGATATTCCTCTGCCCTCCTCTTAAAGGGATTCTCATTAATGTGGTTATTAGTGAAACAAGTAGCTATTTGCCATATCCTACTGTTCCATTATTAGAGTTTGAACTGTAACTCCTCAGGGCACAGACCTCATCTTAATTTTACACTTGCTAAGTGCAGTGCGCACCTATGGAGCGATACAGTATATCTACAAGTGGCTCCTTCTCCTGTTACAGTAGTGAAAATTGGCTATTCATGGCAAACACACAAGGCTGTTTACTCTGGACCATCTCCAACTGCCTGAGACACCAGACTTATTACAGACATGGCAGCACATAACACTGCATTTGCCATTAAGTGGTTTTATTTATATGAAGTTTTAGTGTCTATCACAGAGGGACCCAGCAGTAAAGGGACATGACAGCAACAATGTTTTCAAAGCTTAGTTTGGGGTTTGGGTGTTTTGTTGTGCATGCCTGAGTTTTGTTTTTTAAACTTTTTGTTAAGGCAAAGTCACAATAAAACATTAGCACACTACATCATACGTCAGGGTCAGGTTAGTATTCAAAGAACCTGGCTAAAGATTCTGGCTTACTGGCTGGGAAGCCCTCCTCCTCTGAGCATGCTAAAAAGGGTGACCAAATTTCTCAATATCTATGCTCCCTTTTGCGCTTCTTTTGTGTACCTACTTGGCATGAAAGATATTTTTCACTCCAAGGACAGTCCAGATTTTATTATACCAATATGTGAGTGAGAAGTCTCCCCAGTCTTCATTTCTTTTTTAGGGAGAGCTGGAAGGAGATAGAGAGATTGGAGGTTCCTGAGGTCAAGTACTTGATTGTTCCCCCACAATCCACTCCTTGAAAAAAGAAAAAAGGGACCATAACAAAAATATGCTGTTTTGTTCACAAGTGGATCCTTACTGTGTCTGAGCTTCCTTCCAGCAGTATGTTGATTGCTCTATTCACATCCCCATTACAATCATGTAGCGCCACTATGCATTCATCCTGGTTCTTCCCCGTCACTTCCATAAGCTGGTAAAAAAAAAAAAAAGTTGCAGACACATTAGATACCAAACCATTATTAAAAGGAATAAGGCAAGAATTAGTGCTACTACTCGCAAGAACATCACTGCTGTACCAAAGACTAATTGAAATGCAGTGTTTATCATATATATATTTTAAAGAACTGCTTGAGATCCCAGCGTCATTAACACCACATTTGCGGACAAACAGGACAAATAAATATATTTTAAGAGTGATCTAAAAAGCCTTACCTTTGCCAAGATCTGAGCTCAGGTTTCTGTGTGTGATTTTTATTTATATTTATAACTTAGGGCAGTGGTCCCCAAACTGTGGGTGTGCCCCCCTAGGGGAGCCTAGAGGAATGTTTGGAGAGTGTGAGGGGGCCAAGCCAGCCCCTATGGGGGGCAGGGAAGGCACACCATCCAGCCCCACTCTGCCCCCCAGCTCCGCTTTGGCTCCGGCCCCAGCCCAGGCCACGGCCTTGGCTCCCAACTGCAGCCCCCGCTCCCAGTCCCTAGTCGAAGCCTCGGTTTCAGGCCCTGGCCCCCAACCACAGCTTGGCCCCACTCCTAGCTTGCAGCCCCAGCCTCTGCTCCCGGGGGGGCGCACACAGTTTACATTACAGGTAAGGGGGGGGAGCGACATAAAAAGTTTGGGGACCACTGACTCAGGGTCAGATAGCTGTATACAGCAGAGAAGTGCAAGAGCCTGAGGAAACCTTCCCCACAATAGGCCACAGAGCATCAAGGCCACAGCAGTGTCTGCAGTGCACTTTCAGGGGGCGGAGGGATGACTGACTAGATATTATCTCTGTAGTGGCAGATCCCCAACCCCAAAAGACCATGCATGTTGGAAGCCTCTGCCACATTCTGGTCCACGCAGGTCACTACCTCCTACGCAGAGTCTTGGAATCCTATTTATTTATTTCCACACCCAACAGATGCACACAGGTTATGCTACAAGTAGGGCCCTCTGGTTTGAGCAGGGAGTACACGATTTGGCTCCTGGTGTGCACCCATCGCCACAGCAACGGAGCATATACCAGACAATTGTATAATGTAGACATCAGGAAACAGTAAGGGATAAAGACAATGCCCCAGACCAGGCTTTACAAATGAAACCCAAGAAAATGCCACAGGAAGGAGAGGAACAGCTGCCATGCAGTCACCCTAAGCTGAACCTCTAAGTGGGTGGACTGCTAGATTCTGCCTCAGCTGAAGCTGCTGACTGTTTTTCAACAGTAACCCCAATAGTAGCGCTTGGCAGCAAGTGATAATCATAACCCAAGGCAACGCAAGGAACTGAACTCTTTACACTGCCTAAGTTGCTAGTGATTACCCACTACAGCAGGATAATTAGAACCCTAAAAGCCTGTACCCAGATCCCGGCATGCAAGTGGAAGAGGAACTGATGAGAAGCAGTTTAATTTTACAATGAATTTATTTGCAATTTTAAGCCTACACATGCTCTTAATGATCTGGGAACTCCGTTTATTTATTTATTTATTTTTTAAAAAGATTCAGTTCACCTTTCAGCTACGTTTAAACTTCCACTTTTCCTGAAAAGCTGCCAAGATGTTAGCAAATGTAGTTTACACAGGTGACAAATACTTCCCCCATAGGGGTATGCATACGCGCTAAATACACTCTTTATTCTAAAGATTATTAAGCAATAGCAGCTCACACTGGAGGGATGCTGTATCTATAGGAGATTAGGGCATGGACGAGGACTAGGTGGATAAGGTTCAACCCAGACAAGCCCAATGGAACACTGGTAGATCCGAAAAAGCAATCGGGAAAATTGACGACAACGATGTTGGCACCTCTGACTGAGGCTGGCACTTGTTCCTGAGTTTTTCAGTCTGAGGATCTTGAAATATCTTGGGCTGCTCCTGCCTGGGACAAACGTCCTTTCGCTTTCATCTGTGCGATGTGACAGTTTCATCCAAAAGCTCACCTTGTTACAGTCACCCTGAGATTAGATGTGAGCAATATGATCTACATGGTACTTTAACTTGGGATCATCTAGGTGCCTTCTGCACTAGCTCCTATCTGATTACACAGGGTTTAGCAGACAGAGCATAACATCAGCATTCCAGAATTTGGAGTGACTGCTTATTGTCCTCTGGGTTGAGTTCTGGCTGTTGATTTGGACCAACAAAGCCCTACATGATATGAGATAGTCTCCCAGGTAGGCATATCTGCCCACCCATGCGATACAGCCACAACTGCAATCAGCGGAGGTGTTTAGGTTGATTTAAAAATGGGAGGCGGCTACTAGCAGAGCATTCTCTGTGAGAAGTCCTGTATTCTGGAACTTGCTTCCCACCACAACCTGGATTCATTAACCTTCAGGGCATGCTAAGAGACCATGGGCTCCCCACTGCCACCAATGGGCTCAATCAAGGGGGTAGGTTGAAGGAGAAGGATGCAGTGTGAAAGCTACAGAGAGATCACTCTGTCCTCTGAAACTTGAGCAAACAAAATCATTAAGCACCAGACTAAAGCTACATATAAAAATCCATGCACCAGTAGTAACATGGGAAACGTACTTGTTTCACTTTATCTTCAAAATCTGCATCATTCTTATCATAGATCATCTGAGCGAGGCGAATCTGTTCTGCTGTTGCCTGAAAAGTGCAAATATCCAGTAAGGGTTCCAACAAATTTAATTAAAATATAAAACAAAAACTTTTGACTGTATTCATGTAATATCCCTCCCACTGCCAACACACACCAATTTTATCTTCCAAAAATGTTGAAGAGGAATACAGGGAACAGGCTCAGAAGTTACATGAGGAAGGAACTAAAAAGGCATCATCTAAACCAGCTTTAAGGTAGGGGAGAGGGTATGTCAAGGATAAATTCATCTACACCACAATCGTGACATAGCCAGGGAATCTAGATAAGTCCTGACCATGCCCCTGTAACAGAATAAAAGTCCTACAGAGTCCAGGGGCTTTCACCTTGTTGTAGGGACAGCTTCCATATACACTACAGCTTTGTCAGTGTGTAACCAAAGCTATAGTATTAGGTCTCACATTTTCACTTGTGAACAGTCTCACTTGTTTTCCCTGTACACGCTAAGCTTGTTTCCTTTGTCTCTCAATCTGTCACTGAATAATTTTGTTAATGGTTGTTTTTGTTGTTGGAAAGGTTGCTACTTTGGTTATAGGTTTGGACAACAGACCACACTGGCCATTTGTCGGGAACCCCAAGAGCCAGACTCGACTGGCATAACATGGAGCAGACTGCAGCTGCCCTCATCTTTCTGGTGAAGCAGCAGCCGCCCATGGACATTAGTGGCCACATCATATAATGCTACATTTTGATCCATCATGTGGCTTTCAGGGATCTATAGCGTCTGTGGGATAAACCTGTAAAGGAAAACTGAAGGGGGCTTTGGGCCACCTTCTTCTCATAGGCCTCATTCCATTCCCTCCCAAAACAGGAAACCTTTTCTACCTGCTGGATACTAAACTGAATGCTGGGGAGATGACTCAAGTCCCAAGTTGATGCTGACACACTTAGAAAGAGTTCTTAGTGAAAAAGGGGATCATATCTATCCATGGAAGAACACAGGTGAAAACCCACTGTCAAAGGTGAATCTCATTACTACGAGGCCACCTCAGAAAGACTGCACAGTAAAATTCTATTCCTTGGCTGCGAGTCAAGGTAGCCAACACCTCTTTCAAGAAGAATGCCTGTGCTGTTAGGCATTTACCACAAGCACACAATTTAAAGGAGGCAGACGGCTATCCCTCCTGCAACAAGTCTAAACACTGAGTGGAAGAGTTTAAAAATGGTTTTCAACAAACATCACTCAGCTGCTGACTTAGTGAGGAGTCACTGCAGCTGTCCCAGTTCCTTGAGGAAAGTGGCATATGCAGCGATGAAAAGTCAGATTCCAGGCTGCAGGACAATCAGTTTGTACTTATAACAGGACTTAATCCTTTACATTTTCAAGGTGTCGTACGTACATGATCCTCACAGAGTAAGTTGGTGACGGAACAGAGAGTATTCAGGAGCTCTTAGCCCCCAGCTCTATGTTCAATCCAACAGACCATTTTGCCTCAATTAAAACTAAGCTTATCAAATCAGACTAGCACCAAATGCATGTAAGCACACACCAGTAAGCATTTAGGCCCATTTATTGTAAAGGAGCAAGGTCCACTAATAATTTTAGGAACAAAGTCCCGATAAGCCCGAGCAAGTGGTTTTTACTTATCTAGTGGCACAATACTCCTGTCATACTAAGGCACCTGTTTCCCCATTTCTGATAACCTACCCACTAATTTATCTCAGTGAAGAATTTAGACAGTAATCACAACAAACAGTAGCATTCCTGAACAGAGACAACTATTTGACCAGAAACAAGAAACCAGTTATTTTATCCCTGCTCAATACTTTTAAAGAAAACCAACCATTGTTAGATAAAAAGCAAAATCTTTTGGAACTTGACTGTAATACAAGATGTGACACCTCCACAAAGAAAAACTGGAAATAAAGGCCTTGTCTACACTAGGATTTTTTGACTTGCAAATCTCAATGGGTGCAACACCACTAGTGTCAGTATCAATAGTATTTGTATGTACACAGAGTTCAGGAATTTAACCATTGTCCTATTACCCAGAGTTAGAAGAGAGTGGTAAAATCTCCTGAACCCTGTCTGTACTACAGCTATCATCAGTGGAGCTGCACCCATTTTGAATTAGGAGTCCAAAAAAACACAGACACTGTTACCAAACCAGCATTAGTCATGGGAAGTGTTGCTTTCAATATCTGCAGTCTGGTTTGCCCTTATTGAATAAGTGTCAACTTTATAACTAGCACTGTATTAGCCCACAAAAGGTTGCGCCGTCATTTTTAGTTCTTATGACGAATAAACAAGACAGCTAAGTTCTACCTGTCTGAAAAACCTTGATCTTCGCAGGAACAATCACAAAACACACTCATAGGGATTTTTAATTATCTGTCTTACTACCAACACAAAAAAATCAGAAAGCAAAAAACCCACAAAATCAAGTAACAAATGTTACAAACCCAGTGTAACAGCGATACCATTCAGAGGAAGGAAAAAATGTGTAATGTCATTTCTTATACAATTCAAATTAAGATCAGCATTACACTGTGGGGTTTTAAGGTGACTTCCGAGGTTAGCAGCATCCTCTCAATTCAGAGAAATGAATAAACAGTGACCACAAAGTAAAATACAGCACATTTCTGTTGGTTCTTCCATGCAAAAGTGCCAATGTGATATCTGAAGACAGCAGAGAGAGAACAGGACAGTCAGCAGTACTTAAAATAAGCAATTCTTCAATTGACCAATGATCTTATGAAAAGGGAGGAGAGAAGAATTTAGACACCACATGGGAAAACTCAGAAGATTTCCTGTATCCAAGCTGTCAGGTTATAAAAATAAAGCTTCTCCCCACGAAAACCACTTTCTGGGTCTGTGCAGTTGAGCGAGACACCAAGTTCAAGACTTACGAATGCAAATCAGAGGGGGGAACTTGGGGTTACATGGTAAAAGAGACTACTATATGCCGTAGAAAGTCAGCCTCTCCATAGCACAAGTCAATCCAAGAGCCAAGAAGAGGCACCATTCCCCAGGTGAGCACCAGTAGCCTGTTGCATTTTAGGATATGGAGACCTAAGACAGACAGACAGGCTCTTGTCAGCCCAGCAGAACAGTCGGGTAACTCCTGAATGAATGCCAGATTTTCAGTAGTGTTTGGCATCCAGCAGCTCCCAATCTGTTTTGAAAATCTGGCTATTAGTGCCCAGCTTCTCTTTCCCTCCCTGCCCCGATGGACTGGCCTAGACCATCGCCGCAGGGTTGCCGAGTCTCTAAACAATGGAAAGACGGCCCAAGTCCTTCATAGTCAACAGTGTCAACCTCAATGCCCTCAAAATGCAAATCTTTTTTTAATCTTCATTGTACCACTTCCTGTGAGTATACTCCACCTGACAGGTCTTCGGAAGCTTTCTGGATCCTGCTGCTGATGCCTTTTTGAGTGTGGTCCTTATTGGCCACTGAGAGAAGCTTTGCTCGTCCACCCAAGCTCCAGCACTAACTACAGATCCTCTAGCACAGTGGTTTTCAACCTATTCATCATTGCGGGCTGCATACGCAGCTCTCTGTGTGTTCTGGGCCGGAGCCACACAATATATATTCTACCTGTATGGCCCTGAGGAGGTCACGGGCCACAGCTGTATGCTCATTGGGCTGCAAGCGGCCCGCGGGTTGAGAACCACTGCTCTAGCATCAAGATTCTAGCCTCTGGACAGTACAGAGAGTTGAAGTCTGAAAAGATGTGAAGAGTCCATGGGATAAGATCCTGGCAGAAGACTAGCAGACAGCCTGCGGTTCCTTGCTGATCTGGAGCACTCCTGAAGAACGCAAGACTAGCGTGGATGTAGGAATATAGATCCCAGACTTGAAGCCAGCAAGCAGTTTGCTCACTAACCCAATACAGGATTAAAATACAAGCAACTGGACATGCTCGCCGAACTGATGCAATGCTTTCTTCCCTCCCCCACTCTGAGTCTTTACTAAACCTAGGGCAGCGGTTCTTAAACTATGGGGTGGGCCTCCCCAGAGAGGCGAGGGAATGTGTCAAGGGAGGTGCGAGCTGTGTACTTACATTTTTTGGGGTGGGATGGGGGAAAGAGCTCTAGCTGTCAGCCCCAGGTGGCTGGTTCTCATGCAGAAAGGCTGAGCACACCCAGGAGGCTGGGATAAAGGGGACAGCCAAAGCCCCGTCACTTGGGCTCTCCCCTCCACCCTCAATCCCGCACCCGGAGGCAGCTCAGGCTCTCCTTCCTTCCCCCCATTCCCTCACCGATAAGCAGACTGGGCTCAGGCTCTCCTTCCTCTCCCGCCCCATCCCTCACCTGGAGGTAGCAGGGCTCCAGCTCTCAGCCCCGCGGTGGCAGCAGCAGCACAGAAGTAAGGGTGGCAATGGGCACTAAGTCTGCTGTGACAAGTGATATTGACGAATACCACTTTTCATGTTGCCTTCCTTACTTCTGTGCGGGGCTGCCTTCAGAGCTGGGCACCCGGCCAGCAGTCACTGCTCTCTGCTGTGCCTTCAGAGCTGGGTGGCGGTATATGTACTTTTGGGAGGGGGTAAACAACTACAGACACAAAGAAGGAGACCCAATCAAATACATTTGAGAACCACTGACCATGGGGATGGTTGCAGATCATAATATGGCATTTACTCTCAACCTGAGAGACAGATGTTACACAACACCTACCTGTACTACTTGTTTCTGTGGTTGTGTTGGCTGTGTGGTTGAAATCTGTGTTTTGTCCCGAGTGCCCCGGGTACGTTCACTGCCCACCGAAGTCATCATATACAGTATATACAAAACAATGTATGTACAAAATAGAAAATCTGGAAAGAAAAGGAAAAAACATCAGCTGGTTAAGACAGGATACATATGCTTGAACTACCAGATATATTACACATCCAAACTCAAGGAAGAAGGGTAAATTCATCCACAAGATTTATTGCCTGTCCCTTACCATAAAGGCATGAAAATAGATGTACAACTTTTTCAACTGGCTAGGTGCATAACTGCATACACAGAGACAACTACTGTGAGTACTTAGGCAAAGGGCAAATTCAATGCATAACTGGCCATCAGCGTGCACAAATATTCTAAAGTGCATCTGCAGAAGCGACATACAGAAATTAGAAACACTGCTGCATGCCCAAGTCTTTGAAATACAGGTCTACAGTAATTAGGAGCCTTTTTTAGAGGTTACCTAGGAATTTTATAGCTAATCCTATTATTGCTATATCCTGGTCTAATTAGTATTTTTCACCTTCCTCCTCCTCCTCTTCCATTTACACATAAATACAATTTTTATGGACCAAGATTGAACTCAGCCATTAAGATTTCTGATGTGATAGTTAAAATGTATTCAATAGATTCTGAAGAGAAACACAGTATTTCCTGAACTCTTACATATTTAATTGGAAAAAAGCTGCCTTTACCAGGAATTGACTGTAGCATGATCTGAACAGGAAGACTGTGTTTCACCTGGTTTTATGAATAGGTTTGCCAAAGCCAACCTGTCCTTCAGGCTAAATTTGTCTACAGTGCTCCAACATGTATAAACCCTCACAGCAACTGCACTTTTACATTCAAAAGATCCAAATCAAAACAGAACACACGTAATTCAAGCTCAGCTGGCAGTCTGATCTACATGAAAACTAACCTACTAAGTAGTAGTGGGCACCATTTAAACTAAAAGTGCATTGATTATGTCACATGCTACCTCGTCTTGGCTGTTCAGTGATACTTCAAATACGCATTGCAAGACAACAACCTTCAGCAGAGTTTAAAGTAACTTCCTTTGATAAAAGTTCTCTAATGGTAAACCTGCAAATCTTTTATATGCACTAGCACTTCTTTACACAAATAGCTTTTGAACTATACTGCCTGGAAAAAACAGTTAGTGGCCCTCTGAATTCCAGTACACTGAAGATTTAAGTTCAGGTAAACTAATTACACCTTTGAGTCACTTCTGTTTTGTACTGCCCAGGACATCACAATTTGAATCCAACTTATAAGCAATGAGTAAGGTCCTATGTACACAGAGTCTGGAAAAAGCATTACTACATTTCAAAGACTAAGGTTGATAGTTTCACACTTTGGTACTTGACGTTACACACCTAAATAAAACAATGGGGCCATTTTGATTTAAGAGGTGCTGCACACCTGCAACTCCCACCGACTCTAACTTGAGTTGTGTGGACTCAGCCCCCCTAAAGCCAGCCCATTTTCGTTTAGGTGGCTAATTAAAGATTTGGGGCCCTAAAGCTAGGCACTCACTTGAAACGTCTAAATCTACTTGCACTAAATAAGTCCATCTCTATATTATGGAAATATCCAAGTTTAACATATGGCTGGGGCTCAGCTATTTTATAACATGGTTTCTTTTTGTCTGTACAAACATAAAACAGATTTAACGATGTTCAAGAATCAGGTTTTAACCTTCAGATACCTAGGCTAACACAGAGTTCCTTATAATAGAGTTATAAACTTTTTTTAACTGCCCACACAGACCAAAAATAAGCCATTTTATTACACAGCTGTGCCACAACCACCTTTCACAACCATGTTTACTTTTCCAGTGTGAAACAACTTAAAAAACAAACACACACACAGAGCATAGTTTTAATTATATTATATTACAGCATGGTTTGGCCTGCCAGCATGCATAAGGACAAATACTGGTAGTGTTATAACAGAGGTTGTTTTGAAGTGTTAGCCCAGATTAGAGACCTATATTAAAGCTATTTTTTAACCCAATTACAACTCAGTTTGACCCCCATCCATGTTGACCAGCAAGCCACTGTTATAACCTGGCTCAGCTGCAACCAAGAACAATCATGCTTAGAGTCTAGGGTTGCCAACTGTCTAATCGGCTGCCCCCCAGCACCGCAGCCGGGGCTGGGCGAAGCAGCCCGAGTCGCTCAGGGACTGAGGCAGGGTGGCTAGAAGCAGTAGGGCCATAGAGGGCGGGGCGCTGCTGTGCGGGGTCCGCGTCCCACTCTCCGGGGCTCCGCTCCCTCTGGGGCTGCCCTGCCCCGGCTCCTCAGCCCCCTGCCGGGGCAGTCCCCCAGCTCTACCCTCCTGGGTCGAGGCGGGAGCCCTGGCTGGAGGGACCCTGGGCTGAGGCGCAGCCCGGGAGCCACGCTGCTTTCCCTGATCGTGCCAGCGCTGGACCAGGGGGGAGCAGGCGGAGTCAACACTGGTGGGGGGAGAGCCCAGGGCTGTGGCGGCCGGGGGTGCGGGTGGGGGACAGCCAAAAATGTTTTTGCTTGGGGCGGCAAAAAATCTAGAGCCGGCCCCGGGGGCAAGAGGGGGTGTGGGCTCTGGGAGGAAGTTTGGGTGCAGGGGGGGCTCAGGGTTGGGGCAGGAGCGGTGAGGTCAGTTACCTTGGGCAGCTCCCAGAAGCAACCAGCATGTCCAGCTCCTAGGTTCAGGGGTATTCAGGCAGCTCTGCACGCTGCCCCTGCCTGCAGGGGCAGTCCCCACAGCTTCCATTGGCCACAGTTCCCCGCCAATGGGAGCTGTGGAGTTGGCACTCAGGGGGGGAGGGAGGGGGAACGGCAGTGTGCAGAGTCCCCCTGGCCGTCCCTGTGCTTAGGAGCCAGAGGGACATGCCAGTTGCTTCTGGGAGCCATGTGGAGCCTGGGCAAGTTGGGCGCCTGCCTTAGCACTGCTGCGCCGCCAACCAGACTTTTAGCAGCCTATTAAAATCTCCCGGATTGGTTTCAGTAGCTACTGGGAGATCAATTGCAATTCCTGGAGACTCCCGGCCAATCCAGGAGGGTTGGCAACCCTATTAAGAGTCATAGGGTACATCTACACAGCAAAACACAAAGAAAAAACGTGGCAGCAAGGCTCAGAGCCTGGGTCACCTGACTTGGGCTCACGCTATGGAGCTAGAAACAGCAGTGTAGATGTTAGGGTGCAGACTGGAGCCCAGGCTCTGAGTCCTGGCAAGGGGGGAGGGTCTCAAAGCCCAGGCTCCAGCCCATACCCTAAGGTCTACACTGCTATTTTTAGCCCTATTGCACAAGCCTGGGTCAACTGACCCAGGCTCAGAGACTTGCTGCAGCAGGGTTTGCTTTTTTGTTTGTTTGTTTGGCTGTGTAGATGTACCCAGAGTTTAATGCCAGAAGGAAATGTCAGATCATCTAATCTGACCTCCTGCACATTCACAGGCCACTAAACCCTACACTGTTACTCCTGCACTGAGCCCAGTAATCTGGATTAGAATAATGTATTAGCCCTCCAGAGACTAAAATTTAAGCATGTTTCTTAAAAACCAGTTGAAAGCCCTGTGGAGATGGAACCTTACAAATAAAAACTATTACAGTTGAACCTCAGAGTTATGAGCTGACCAGTCAACCACACGCCTCATTTGGAACTCAAAGCATGCAATCAGGCAGCAGCAGAAACCAAAAAAAAAAAAAAGGACAAATACAGTACATTACTGTGTTAAAGGTAAACTACTAAAAAAATAAAGGGAAAGCAGTATTTTTCTTGGGCATAGTTACGTTTCAAAGCTGTGTTAAGTCAAGGTTCAGTTGTAAACTTTTGAAAGAACAAGCCAGGGTGTCAATCTACAGCACAGTGAAAGTACCAGAGTGCAGTTTAGCGTACTGCCAGGACTTTTACAGTGCGGTAGCAGTGTACACACAGCGCGTTAGCACACAGCAAACTGGCATGCTGTAGATTCACACACCCTGGCTTGCTGCGCACTAACTCACCATGTAGACAAGCCCTAAGAAACCATGCTTTAAATAGCAACAGAGGGTCCTGTGGCACTTTTAAGACGAACAGAAGTATTGGGAGCATAAGCTTTCGTGGGTAAGAACCTCACTTCTTCAGATGCAAGCCTGAAGTCTTGCATCTGAAGAAGTGAGGTTCTTACCCACGAAAGCTTATGCTCCCAATACTTCTGTTCGTCTTAAAGGTGCCAGAGGACCCTCTGTTGCTTTTTACAGATTCAGACTAACACGGCTACCCCTCTGATACTTGACACCATGCTTTAAATGGTTTTATTGCACCACTGCACCCTGTGTGTACCAGCCAAGGAAACACAGCACCTTTCTAACAACAGGGTTAGAGCCATGCTCTACATCAGGGGTCGGCAACCTTTCAGAAGTGGTGTGCTGAGTCTTCATTTATTCACTCTAATTTAAGATTTCATGTGCCAGTAATACATTTTAATGCTTTTAGAAGGTCTCTTTCTAGAAGTCTATAATATATAACTAAACTATTGTTATATGTAAAGTAAATTAGGTTTTTAAAATGTTTTAGAAGCTTCATTTAAAATGAAATTAAAATGCAGAGCCCCCCAGACTGGTGGCCAGGACCCGGGCAGTGTGAGTGCCACTGAAAATCAGCTTGCGTGCCACCTTCAGCGCATGTGCCATAGGTTGCCTACCCCTGCTCTACATAGATGCTAACATTACTCCTTAACTCAGCATAGATAGGCCCCCTGCTGTATCACTTTGTCACTAGAATTTCACCAACTTCCACAATCATCCTTTACAGTGGTATAGTAAGAAATATCAGGATGGCAACAGACACCTGCTGCTTTCTAAATCAGAGGTTAGCACCATACTAAGAATTTTCAGTATTAAGTGGATATTGCTAATTATTTAAGATGTGGTTTAACAAGAGCCTCTCTCCCTCACAGACTGGCTTCTCCTTCAGCTTGATCCTGCAGGTTAGTCAAATCCTTTTGACAGTCTGTTGCCATGGAAATGACCAGTATGTCACAAATTCAAGCATCACATCTTGACTGCAAGATCAAGTGAGGAGAAGATGGGCTGGGAGGGATAGAATGCCTGGTTAAAGATCTATT